CGCTGCGCCTCGCAGCCTACGAGGGCCACGACGACGTGGCGGAGCTTCTGCTGGACGCCGGCGCCGACGTCGACGAGACCGCGGGCCCCGCGGGGGACGCGCCCGCTTCCGCGGCGGTGACCCCCCTGCTGGCCGCCGCCGCCATGGGCCACATGAAGGTCGTGTCGCAGCTTCTCTTCTGGGGGGCCGCCGTGGATGCCATCGATGGCGAGGGCAGGACGGCGCTCAGCCTGGCGGCGGCGCAGGGGAGCGTCGAGGTCGTCCGCGCGCTCCTCGACCGGGGGCTGGACGAGAACCACAAGGACGACTTGGGCTGGACCCCGTTGCACGCCGCGGCCTGCGAAGGCCACCGAGCGGTCTGCGCCGCCCTAACGGAGCGAGGTAGCGCGGCGCGGGTCGGCGAGATGGATATCGAAGGCCGTACGGCGCTGATTCTGGCCGCCCAGGAGGGACACATCGGCGCCGCCAGATTGTTGCTGGACCGCCGCTCGCCCATTGACCACAGGGCCTACGACGGACACTCGGCCTTGAGCGCCGCCCTTCTGGAGGGGCACGGCGAGGTGGCCGAGCTCCTGATGAGACGAGGTGCCGACACCGACGTCCGGGACGCGGAGGGGCGACCGCTGCTCTACCTCCTGGTGCTGGAGGGCCGGCTCCACATGTCGACTCTGCTCCTCGAGAAAGGGGGGCCGCCTCTAGAATCCCGAGATCCCGAGGGTCGCACTGCCCTGCACGTGGCCTCTTGGCGGGGACACGTGGATGCGGTGGACTTGCTCTTGAAGCACGGGGCCGACCCCAATGCTCAGGATGTTGAGGGGAGGCCGCCCTTGCATTCTGCGGCCTGGACGGGGCGCGTCGACGTGGGGCGCCGTCTCCTGCTCGCAAGCACCGTCGACATCAATCTGGCTTGCCACCAAGGGGCGACGGCTCTGAGCGTCGCCGCCCAGCAGGGACGCGCCGACGTGGTCGCCCTCCTCCTGGAGGGAGGCGCCGACCCCAACCACGTCGACAAACACGGCCGCACCCCTGTGAAAGTGGCGCGGAGGCACGGGCGCGCCGAGGCGGTCCGGCTCCTGGAGAGCTCCGGGGCCGAGCCGCGCCGCGGCGCGGTGCCCGGAGGGGGCGCGGCTTCACCCGCCAATAAGATGTTCTCCGGACCGGACGCCGCGACGTCCTCGTCGTCGCGGTCTTCCGCGGGTTCCGCCTCAGGAGGTTCCCGGTCGTCGTCCACCGGGCGCTCCCTGCAGACGGTCCCGGCCGACACCCTCGACTTCGTCCGGCAAATTCAGCAGCACTCGTTACCCCGAAGCCGGGGTCGCCCTCCGACCCTATCTTCACCCGTCGGGGGCTCAGGAAGCCCTCCGCCGACCCTTTGCACCATCACGGCTGCGGTTCACAACGGTGAGCCGCCGGTCATCTCCTCGTCTTGCGGATTGGACCATCAGAGCAAAATGAACCCCAAAAACTTGGAGAGGGCAAGTGCGGAATTCAGGACTCCTGAAACCAATCGAGCACCCCCGTCCAGGATGCAGAGTCCCCACCAGAGGGAAATTTGGGACCCTCCGGCCAAGCGCAACTCTGCATTGCCCTCCGGGGCCAGGGAGATCTCCATGCAAACCTCGGACCCCCAGCTCCACCTGAAGCAGGCCATCAAGCTGCGGTTTGAGGGTCCCACCAGCATTTCCTTTAACAAGAGAGAGACCCCGCTGTGAGCCCCTCCCCGAGACCTCGTCACACGGATTGAACTGTCAGGACTCATCATCGAGGCAGGACCCCGATCTGCAGTGCGCGGGAGAGCGGGGACGGCCCCATGGCAGGTGCTCAGCTCACAGGGACACTTCTGGTCTGCAAATGAAGCCAAGTGTCATAAAAGTTGACCATGACCTGAACGTTTGGGGACTATTTTGTGGTGAGCAGTGCTCATTCGCGCGCACGCACGCGGTCGGGCCTTATTTATGACTCCAACACTGAGAATTGGGTCCAAGTTCGTGTTCAATAAAACAATGAACTTCCTGAGAGTTTGTTTTCTTCTCTCAGCAAGTCTCCACGTTTGTTCCTTGTTTTTAGACGTGATCGCGTGGAACGCGACTCAGTTCTTCATCGATCGGCAGATGTGGTGCGGTTGCTAGGAGACCAGTCTGCAAAGTGATCCCGGCATAACGTATCCAGTTTGTGGATCTGCATTTCAAAGAGCCTCGGGCAGCGCGTAGGCAGCCAAATGGACGTCGAAAAGCTCATTCCGAGACGCCGGACATGTCGCGGTTGGAGGCGAGCGTGTCGAATTATGCAAACGAAAAATCAAGTTTGAAAGAAATGCTTCAGCGGACTATGCTCTATGTTTGTTTTTTTGGTTGGGGGGGGGGGGGGGGGGGGGGGGGGTTCAGTTCAGCTCGGCTCGGCACGTGTATTCGAGGCGCCTCGCCAGTCGATGATCCGAGAGGACCCGGGGACTTGACTTGTACTTCAAAAAACATGAACCGGATTCTGACGTGACCTCGGCTCCGAATATTTCGAATTGTAACGCAACAATCCAACTTCATTGGAATTGGCTTTGGACTATTTGGTTTCATTTCACGATTCTTGCTGCGTACTTGCTGCACGGTGCCAGCGGGACCACCTCGGTCTTCCTCTTATGTGACAACGAGAGCCTGGCATGGTGAGCCCCGCCTTGGCCCGATCGTCCGTGTTGAACCGAAACTAACGCGCATGTCCAACTTGTAACGAGAGTCACCGATGATCACATCATACATCACGAGTTGTGAATGAGCCACACCTGCCACGCATTTGAGAATTTTATTAATAATACGACTGTCAATCAAATAGTTTTTTTTTTTGTTTTTTTTAAACATTTACAATATACACATGCGAGCATGTTTGCTGTAGGTCAAAGAATGAGCACATGAACTCCTTCAACGTACGGCCTCGGTTTTAAAGCCCGGTGACCACCGCGGGCCAACGAGCACGCGCACGCACAGCGCTTCGGTCCATGTTGCTTGTTGGCATGTACGTGGGCTGAGTCCCCTTCCGGTTGTGCCTGTACAAAGTCTTCTTTCCTGAAGCTCTAGTCGCGTGCCACTCCTTTTTTTGGGGGGGGGAGGGGGGTGTTACCTGCGGTCGCGGCGCGGTCACGTGGCGTGGACCTCCACAATGTGGTCGTCGTTGGCGGGCAGGACCAGGACTTGTCGAGCGTGGCTGTGGTTGAAGACTTGACCGGGACTGAAGGGGTCCAGGCGGGGCAGGGCCACGCCCCTGTGCTGCTGCTCGCCCAGCGATTGGACGCTGCCGCGACTGCGCACGCTGGCCGTGTCCGCCGTGGCGTCGTCCAAAGTCTTGTCCAGGAGAGACAGGCTGTCGTTCTCCACCTGGCTGTCTGAGGAGATCGGGGAGGACGCGCGGCACTCAGCAACAAACTATGGCTGCATATGTGTGTGTGTGTATGTGTGTGTGTGTGTGTGTGTGTGTGTGTGTATCACCACCCGCTTCCTCTTTCGCTCTCTCATTGTGAAAGTAATACAAACATATTTGGATGAGCTTTAAATCTTATACGGGCTTGACGTTTTCTATGGCAGCGCATCAGGTAATGAGCTGGGCTCTGAGTTGCCAAATTCTTTTGGGGGCGGGGGGTTCTGCCCACCACGCAAGGTGTGTCGATTCAACCCCGAGCGCGCATGTTATTTGCGTGTGCGCGTGCGATGAGGCGCACGGTACTGACCAGCGTCTGGCTGTATGGTGTTGACGTTGTGAGGAAGATACTTGAGGACTTTGATCTTGGGGAAGGGAAGATGGCCGGCGAACAGCGGCATGACCTCGATGTGGACTTTGTGCGCCCAACTGCCCGACGACGGCATCGACACCAAGCCGGAACTCCGACCGCACACTGCCCAGTTACTGCTGCTGTCTGCCACTGCTCGCGCACGCACACAGAAATCCAAATACACAGCGTTGAAAATTATTTTGCCACTGTCAGCTGCGAGGTCCCTCATGTCACCCGAGAAATTTGTTGTCTTTGTCCTTGCTTATTATTTTGATGCACATTTGCGAGGGCTTAAACATGCACAAAAACTCACCAAACTTTGTCCTCGCCTCAGGTCTGGTGAAAATGTTGAGATTTTCAAGTTGTCATACACAATTACAAAAAAAAAACCCCACAAACATTCCCTGACAAGGGTGGGCGCAAATGATTTCATAGTTGAGCAAAAAAAAAAAAAAAATCCCCAAAACATTCCCTGACAAGGGTGGGCGCAAATGATGATTTCATAGTTGACAAGGACCAGTGGCATCACATGATGGAAAGCTCCTAAGCCGGCAATTGGAAGAAACCCGGAGCGCATTTCATCCCTGGATACTTTTGCCGGGATATCTCAATGCCGTGTCGTGTCTTTTGGTTGTCATCCGATAACCATCTGTGTTGAAAATTAGCCGCTGATGGTCGCTAACTTGATACTGTCATTGTAACTATTGCGGACAATGCGAGCACAACGTCATTTGCGCAATCATCTGCTTTTCCTCGCTCCGGAGGGTACGCGCGCGGCGCACGAGCGTCATACCTTCGTACAGGACTTTGCTGCCCCCGAGGCCATCGGCGTCCGTTCCGCCGCCGTCGACGTCCGGTTGGCCCTCGGCGGGCTCGGCCAGGCGCGCAATCACCACCTCCAGACCGCAGAGGGAGCCGGAGCGGCAATGACGCTCGCCCGCCAGCGGAAGCATGTTGGCTCTCACGCTGTACAAGGTCTGCCGGGTCACGGGCACAAAAGGGCGCATGAATTGCCACGGATGGGCGAGGCGAGCGGGCGCACTCAAAAAGGGGTTTTCCCGAACGGACGGACGGAAACCGAGCCCCCCCGCCGCGTGACTTGCCGGCACTTTGTCCAACAGGAAGTTGTAGTGGAAGAGCTGGAAGGCGGCGGCGTGGCGGGGCCGGCGGGGACAGAAGCTCGCCGAGAAGACGCACTCCAGACTGGACGGGAGATCCTCCTTGCACGTGGCCTCCCACAGACAATGCACACTCCGCTTGCTGCACAACAACTACCCGCACGTGCGGCCGTCGTTCCATCATCAGCAATTGACGTACGCGGAGCAAGAATAAGTCAGACGAAAACAAACAAGAACACAAATGAAGAACCGTATCCGGTCCCACGCGGAACTGAGGCAAACATGCTTTTTACATTTTGTTTGGTTTTTGCTGCTTTTAGAGATGCAAAGCAGTATTTGGCCATGAGAAGAGGCCAGTCAGTTGCTGACGGCAGAAAAACATGGAGTTCCCGCTCACCTGCTCGGCGGTGGCGTTGAGGGATCGCATCTCCAGAGAGGCCCGCCGCCGCCCGTCTTGCCGCGGCCCATTTTTCTCCGCCAGTTTGACGTGGGCCAACGTGAAGTCAGAATCCGACACGTTGTGCACGCACACCCGGATGAACTTCCTGTTTATAAAAAAAAAAAAAAAAAGGTGACCATGTGAGCCAGGCGTGCATTGCGCTACGTTGCACTGCGTCGCGTCGTTGGTTCGCTTCGCAGCGGCTCCCGACATTCGATGATGTTTTCACTGCCGGAATGTGAAAATTGCATTCTGCTGCGTTTGATTCGAATTGCGTCACTTGTGTCGACTCTGTCAAAACACGACCGGCCGGGGTCGATCCAAAGCAGGCATTTGGAACTCAACGTTCGGGCGGACCTCCGGGGGGCCTTTGCTGTATGAAGGGATTGCCAGAATTTGGCCGCTCCTCCAGATTTCGCAAAAGGGCTTCCAACCTGTTTCCGGCAGACAGCAGCGAGTGCTCCGTCTTGAAGGGGATGTGGAAAGTGAGGGTCAGCAGGGTGGAGTAGATGGACCACGGGCAGTCGATGGACATCTGGGGATGGAAAGAGGGAGGGGTCAGCGGAGGTCGGCGGGGAGCCGCGCGGAAGGTCCTCACCTTCTGATCGATGGCGCTCATGGCCGTGTCGGGGTGACTGTAGCTGCGCGGCCGGTGTCGGACCTCGCCGTTGGTCAGCCTCTCGTCGGCGGTCCGCTCCGGCCCCGACGGGATGAGGCACAGGACCTCCAGGTGGAACTCCAGCGCGTGGTAGGGAGGGGCGGGCGGCAGGCTGATGCTGGTCACCTTGTCCGACGACTGCACCGACAGCGCGCTCTCCGACACCGCTGTCCACACGGGGGCGCCGCGGTTAACCTCGAGAGCGCGATTCGCACGCCGGGGCGCGGCGACTGCGTACCGGCGCCGCTGTTGCTGATGCGCGCGGTGCAGCCGGCGTTGGCCAGAACGGGCATGCCGTCGCTGTTGCTGAGCTGCAGGGCGTCGCCCTTCCTCACGGCGTAGTGGCCCGTCAGCAGGGTGAACTTCACCGTCTGCGGGAGGCCGGCCAGCAGCGGCTCTGAAGGCACGGAAAGGAGAAGATGGGGGGGGGGCGGGCTCCCACGGACCAAAGAAAGCGAGCTTCCACCTCGAGTGGCGGTCGGCATCCCGAGAAAGACAGAAAAAGAGGGACAGAGTAGGGTAGGGTTCCCGCGGCTCACCTGCGAGCGGCTGCACGGTGAGCTGCGGTTCCTGAGAGTAGACGTGGTACTGCACCGAGGGGTAGATGTGGGGCAGGACAAAGTTGACGTTGCCCAACGTGACGGACAGCTGCCGCAGCGTGTAGGTGCCCGGCTCGTCGCTCTGTGGAAATTCACGCAATAATACGCCGGCGTCACTTGACCCCCCCCGCCCCAGGTGGACAGTTGCGGCGTCTCACGGGTGCGGTGAGGACAACGCTGTTGTCTCCGGGCTCCAGCGCGATCCGCCGCCCCGTCAGCATCCGCGCGCCCTCCTTCAGGGCCACGGGCGTCGCGGGCGCGGCGCCGATCGGGGCCGCGTGGCCGCGGGGGGTCCGGGGGGCGTCCTGAGGCGAGCCGCTGTCGTGGCGGCGTATGACCAGGTGGGCGTTTTTGCACACCACGCCCGCCGAGCTGAGCGAATCGTCCGAAGGGCTGCGGTCGTGCGCCTCGTCCATCTCCGGCGGGGGGCCGGCGCTCAGGGAGGCCGGGCGCCCCGCCGGAGAGACGGCCGCCTCGAAATCCACCGTCCCGGGGAGGCCGCGCCCCTGAGCGCCCCCCTTGGAGGCGTGCTCGGCGTCCAGGTGGATGCCGACGGCCAGCTCGTCCGCGCGCACGGCCGCGGGCATCAGGCAACGCAGCGTCAGCTCCACCTGCGCGCAACAACGCGGCTCCTTTATGCCTTCGCCCAGAATACGGTTGGCGAAGGAAAAAAATTGAACACAAAGCGATGAAATGAAAAGCGCCCACTTGCACACCGAGGAGCCGACGTTATGCGTTGCATCAACGTGGCTTCCTCGGATGGCAAAGCACAAAGGGATCGGACCTGCTTGCCATTTTTCCACGTGAAACCGAAGCTCACCTGCAGGGCGGCACCCGAGTGCACGGTGGCGCCGTCCGGCCGGAATCGGATCCGCGTGAGCCGCGCGAAGGCGCCCATGTCCAGCGAGGCCTTGGCGGAGGCCGCCCCCCCTGCGCAGAGAGAGCGGGCGACATGGGCGTCGGCTTCCCCCGGAGAGTCCCCCCCAAAAAAAGCCGCGCGGCCGCCGCTTACCCTGCTCGACGGGCTCCCCGGCGTAGTTGAGGACGTCGCCGCAGAAGCGCGTCCGCTCCTCCGTGGTCAGGTTGGTGTCGCCCGCCAGTAAGGCGCTGGTCTGCAGGGAGCTGGCGCGCGACGGCGGTGAAGGAAACACTCGAGAGCGAGCCGCTGTGCGGTACCGACACGCGGCGCCTCTCTTGTATGCCGTCATTTCATTTTTTTGGGGAGGTTGCTTTTTTGACTCCAATCATTCCGAGTGGCGCTGGCCCACGAAAGATAAAAACACACGCGGAACGGGACCGTTCCCGAAGCCGAGGAGGGGAGCGCTTCTCCGGCACGACCTCGATCGCGGATGAGGTCGGGATTTTTGTCCTTCCCGACAACATCGGTCAAGCGCCATCTGGAAAAGGGTCCTGGATTGCAAATCTGGCTCATCACATCCTTTCACGTGACCGTCGCGAATTGCCCGCAACCCCCCGCAGGTATTGGATGGCGGCGCCGCGCATTTTAAGGCTGGTGAAATGCAGATCAAAGCATCCAATTCCAGATCACACTTAACGGCCGATCGCATGGGCCATCTTTTTTTTTCGCGATCTGGCGCGCGCAGCCCTTCCTTTGCGCACCGAAGACGGCCAAGAGGAGGATACTCCACGCTTCGTCCCAGCAGCTTCTGGCACTCGCCCATCTGTTTCCTGGTGTGGGTGACCGGAAAGCTCCAGCCCTCGCAGACGTAGGAACGCAGAGCCTCGGCCAGCAACGCCTCGGCTTGCTCGGGTTCGCCCTTGCTCCTGGAACGCGCGCGCGCACGAACGCCGATGCGCGTTGCCGTGCACATATACGGAAAACACAAGCACACAGGACAAGGACACAAAAAGTGACACGTTAGCAGAGATGCTAAGGTATGACCCCCACCGATCATGATGGTTCTCATTGCGTGGGCTCACATGTAATATTCGGCCAGACTTTTTCCCAGCAGCCGGGCGGAGCGCAGTCTCCCGATGGCCCGGTACATCTCCATGGCCGCCTGGCACAGCTCCTGACGGGAACATGGGACAGGCGGGTCGGGAGAAGTCGCGCGAGCGGCGAGAGTCCAACTTACCAGGTAATGCCTTTCAAACGCTTCCACGGACGACAAGGCCTCTTTGAGCTTCTTGTAGGGACTCTGCAGACTGCTCGCTGGCGGAACACAAACGCAAAGTAAGCCTCGTGACATCCCTCGCGGCAGAGTCCCAAAGCGCGCCGCGCTCCGAAAGGGAATCGACAGCCGTCGCCGCCGCGTCGAAAACGGCGACGAGCTCAAGTGACTCAAAATCAAGTTGTCACAAAGCGGTTTGCGGTCTTCGGTCTCTTGAAATGAAAGCCGCAGCCGTCGGACAACAGTTGCCCCCCCCAGCAAATGCGTTCTCAATGCTCACGGGCTGGAGTTGACACCCCGACCCCTCCACCTGTGAGCCACGCGCCGTACGATGGACACCCCCCGCGGTAGACCACCTACCGGTTTCTGGCCGCTCATCCCCCAGACCGGCCAGCAGGTCCACCGTCCTGTTCAAGTCTTCTGAGGTTGGACCCGTGCGGGACACCAGCCCGCACAGTTGACCCAGAGACTTGAGCTGCACACAAGCACACCGGGCAAATCAGAGGACAAGAAGGGGCTGCACCAGTGGGGGTGGAAAGCCCAATTCCAGGTCGGCCATTTCCCAAGCACGTCGCGGTGGCAAAGAGGTCGCTGGCGGTGGGTTACCTTGTCGGTGGCGTAGGCCCACAATCCCACGGTGTGCGAGCTGTTGGCGGCCAGCTGCGCCCGGTCGCAGCAGCTCTCGATGCGGTGCAGAACCTCCAGGCAGCTGAGGAACACCCAGCAGTCCAGCGCCCCCTCCAGCACCGGCACCTGCGACGCGGGAGGCGGACCCCGTTTAACGCGGCCGTCGGACCGGCCCGGAGCGGGCGCATCCGACCGAAGCGGCCGGCGTCGGAACGGGCGCGGCCGACCACGCACCTCCAGCAGCCGCAGCTCCTGGACGCAATTGTGCAGCAGCTCCAGGGCCCGGTGGGTGACCTCCCAGGGCCTCTGCAGGAAGATGAGCAGCGTGCACTGGCGGGAGAAGAGGTAGCTGCGCATGTCCAGGAGGCTGGCCGAGCCGCGCTGGATGGCGTTGCGCTTCTCCATGTCGATGGGACGGCGCAGCAGCAGACCGCTCCAGTTGAGCACCGGAGAGCAGAAGGAGCCCAGCCACTTGGCGGCGTCTGAGGGCGAGCGAGGAGGCGCCGGTGACGGGACCACCGACGTGGCGCTCCCGACCTCATTCGCGTGCTTCACGCTCGCTTGGCGGATCGACGGCGCGAGGACAAACCGCAATTTGAAAGCCCGACGCTGACTTCAAAGCCCAATTTGCCACCCTTACTCCGCCTTCTCGCCCGAAGCGTTTTGCGAGACCTCATTCCCGGCAGGGAATCCAAAGCCCAAATGAAGACTTCAAAGCCAACTCGGACTCCCGAAGCCTCGCTCGAGAGCCCAACTGGAACGCCCCCGCCGGGCCCGGTTTAAGCGCCTGACCGGAAACCCGACTCGGAAGGGCTAAACGTCGCCATCGGCAGGCCGGCCCACGTACCTCCGGCTCCGAAGTTGAGGACGTACTGCGTAAAGAGCGCGTCCAGCTCGTCGTACTGCACCAGCGCGTCTTCGAACTGTTGCAACATCTCAAAGACGAACGCCAGCTCCTCCTGCGCGGCAACAGCGGCAATCAAACCACGACGCGCGCAGCGGAAGCCACGTCAACAGCCCGACTTCTGAAATCAAGCCGGCTTGCAGGTTTCAAGTTGTGCTTCCAGGCTGGGGATCGGCTTCCAGACACATTTCGCTTTTCAAATGAGTCTTTGAAAAAGGCTTCCGACCGAATGAGTTCAATGGAAGCCGAATTTGAAAGCCCAGGTCAGCTTTGAAACACGATTTTGCAGCTCTGGTGCCAGCTTGAAACCCGAACTGGCATGCCTACTTTGACCACTCCGACCCTGACTGGACGCGAGGGATTGTCGAGTCCGCTCTCATTTTTCATGTCATCGGGTACTTGTGGCGGCTGCCGATACCAGCCACTGATGCTTAAAGCAAAGAGGAGGAAAAAAAAAAAAAAACACATCCAAGATCAATGAACTCCTCTTCGGCAGTAGCGGGGGCATCGGCACCATTTTTTGGCAGTGTGTTAAAAAGAAAAAAGTGCTCTTGACATGCAACTTTGTAAACCCAAGGATGGCTTGAAAGGAGACTTTCCACCGATGCAATTGGCCAGAATGGATCAGCAGATATTTCGCACTTTATGCTCAATCGGCGATCGGCTGTCATACCTTGCCGATTGATCGATGACATCATCGATCGGTTCCGCAAAAATAAGACGCGAGAGAGCTCTAGCCAGCTCCAAGTTGCGCTCAATCGGCGATCGGCTGTCATACCTTGCCGATTAATCGATGACATCATCGATCGGTTCTGCATAATAAGACGCCAGAGAGCTCTAGCGAGCTCCAAGTTGAATTTCCAGTCAGGGTCAGGAGGCGAGAGAAGTGGCAGGCAGGCTTGAAGCTCTACTGGACCTGGACCATGAAGTATTCGCAGAAGCTCCATCCGGGCTGGGTGCGTTTCTCCCTGAGGGTGCGCATGTCGTCCTCGAAGCGTCCCAGGTTCTTGGTGAACGACATGAGCAGGAGCGTCCTCAGCTTGAGCAGCAGAGAGTTCCACGACTCCTGAGAGCGCGACGAGTCCTTCAGCGGGTCCGACAGGACCACGCACCTGTCGGGAGGGAGGGGAAGGGAAGGGGGGCCGCCGGGGCCGGGCCGCCACTTATTCAAAGTGACAACGCGCACGACTGCGGCGGGGGCAGGAAAGGGGCCCTTTGGGCTGACCTGTCGTTCTGCTTGTTGCAAAAGTCGCCGCGGATCTTGTCGACGATGGACGAGCGGGGCAGGATGTTGCTCTTGTTCTTCTTGCGCGCGTCGCCGCCGTCCACCACGATGATGAGCCAGTCGGCCGAGCCGTGACTCCGCAAGCTGCTCTGCCATCGGCTCACGTCCTCCTTCACCGAGCTCCGGTACGCCTCCGAGTCCTGCGCATGCGCACGTCAAGCGCCGCCCCGCAACGCGGCGCCAACCTCGGGATGCGCTGCCAATGTGGAGGAGGCTTCATACAAATGTATTTTCACGCGGCACTCACGCAGCAGTCGGTCCAGTAGATGTGCAGGAAGGGGAAGGTGAGCAGCGCCTTGGTGCCGTCCTTGGGTAGCAGCTCCTCCTTAAACTGCACAAAGTTGGCCTCCAGGTGGATCATCTTTGGAGCGCGCCCGTACGTCCTCCGCACACAGACACAAAGCGGAAACCTCAATACCGCACTCCTTCCAGCCATCTTATCTTACTCGAGATTGTTTTTGGGGGAATATTTTCAATCTCAACTCCCACAAACGGCGACAAACCACCTTTCACTGATGCAGAAAACGCATTGGGGAGGAGCATTTTTTTTTTTTTGTATTGTATCGCTCTCTCGTGGTGGAAAAGGAGCTGAGGCCAAAAGCGAAGCTCTCAATCGACCGCTCGATCTAGGTTCCCACCCTTACCTATGGTCACGAGACGTGGGTCGTGACCAAAAGAACGAGATGCCGAATACATTTTTTTTAATCCACTTGCCTCGTCCAGTTCATCTCATCTAATCGTGTTTTATCCACTGAACCCCTCCCCCTTACCAAATCGACTCGAACCACATGTGATGGTTTGCATGCGATGTGATGCGATAGCGTCGTCGGGACTGACCTCCTCCACTCCATGGGCTCCCGGGGAAGCTGCTGAGCCAGGGAGGTGTAGAGAGACGTGAACAAGGCCTGGTCCCCGGCACCTGCCGGGACCACAACGGCAACATTCATCGGCATTCCAAACACTGGCGCAATACTTGACGCCGGCACTTGAACTCTTCGCTCCATCTCGAGTCCCTAACTTGAAATCCTCACCATGGCTCGATAGCCTTAATTTAAAACCTTAACTTTGGCTTCCGATGTTACGAGAGCAGAGCCACAAAACAGGGGAGCGTGGCATTGGCGACGCCAGCTCCGGGGCACTTTGACGGCAGTTTCATTCAACAGCAGAGGGCGGAAGAGAGCCGAAATGGCATGCTCACCCTGAAAGCAGAGACGACAGAGCGCATGCGCAACGAGAAACTGACAGTCGACGACCCAAACAAGTCAACCCCTCTTTCACGCTTGTGGCGTCTGGAAACAAGGCCGAATGGAGGAAAGAAACCTTTCGCTTCCACCACAATGCCTCACCCGGACACGTAAAGGGCCGTTCGCCCGTGTGCCGCTAACTAGCTACCTTGCTCGCTAGCCAGCTAGGCGCCAGGTCAGCAAGAGCGGACTCAACACCCGCGCCGCAGAGTCGGGGTCGCTGTTCGAGTCCCGCCGATAGGCCTCGCGAAAGATCGACACGGCTCGAGGCGCGAACGCTCCAGTCGTTTGCGCTAATGAATGCTAAGGCTAGTGCTAACGATGCGGCTCAGCCGCCCGACAAGAGAGCGCCGCTCACATGTGACGATGGGTTTGTTCTCCATAGCGTAGATGACGGCGGCGGGCTTCTCTTCAGCACTGTCCATGTGCGTCAGCGGCGGCGGCGGGGCGCCATGAAACGCAGCCGCGGTCGGCCTAGAGGGACTGAAGCGCTGCAGGTTAGTTGGGCTCCAGTCAGTCCGTATCTGTCACAGCCAGTTACTCGGGCGAGACAGAAGGAGCGGCCGAGGGGCGGGACTAGGTGCACGTGCGCTTCCGGGGAAGAGTGACGTCATTTTAAAGAGCCACCTTTTTGAGAAATTGTTTTTCAGGAAATCCAGCCTCGTTGCTATACGAGCGATTCAGCACAGAGAGTCTCGTCAAACGCATTCCCGAGACTGGGCAAACCTGAGTAAACTGACAGAGAAATGAACCAATCAGCTAAGAGTGGACGTGACATCAAAAAAAAACACGTCTTCTCTCGAAATAAATGCTTCCAGTGCCATAAGCTGCTGGGCTTTCATCGACGATGTATGTGATTCTGGTTATTTAAAACGGATTTGATGCTGACTTATGTAAACAAACTATCATCTCTCCCGCGCGCCATTTTGAACGACGATGGACTTCCGCCGCCCAGGAGTGACGTTGCTCGTGTATACGTCACACCAATTGAACGAATTTGCGCGCCCGCCTCTTTTTGAACCTGGGCCGAGCCGCGGTGGAGGGCGCCCTTTTCAGTGCTTGGCTTGCCAGGCTATTATGATATTGTTGCTGTCACAAGAGGAAAAAGCTTCACTTTCACATTGTAACGTGATAAATCGCATGTTAGCAGTTAGCATTTTTAACCGAAACCTGTTGAAAGGTCTCAAGTTTCACATGTTAATCAAATAAATCTCACGTTTTCATCTGATAAGTTTTAAGTTGTAAGCTTATTTAATTGTTTGACCTCCCACTGACCATTCGACAAGCCCCCTCTGTGCCCATAAAACTCATCTCAAAACTCATTTGTATTATTTGGCTTTTGACTCAGACTTGATTTTAGTTTTACTGTTTTTTTGTGCGTTCTACTGTCTTCATGAAGAATTTATCGATTTATTGTTGTGTATATGATATTTGCTCCATGTATACAGCGGTGGTTGTTTCAAAGTGCTCTATAAATACAGTTGAGTTGAGTTTATTTGATTTTTTTGCAAATCACAAACCAGTCGGTGACACCGAGTTACTCAGCTGTAGCTTGAGGTCAAACTGTCACCGCTGTCCTGAAGATGGCTGCTTGGTATTCCAACAGTGGCCTGTCGGTGGTCTCCGGGTGAATCAAGTTTTGGCCAGCATCCGCAGAGGAGGAAGACAAGAAGAGCCGAAGGCAACTTTCTCCTTGGATTTTGATTGTTTCGACTGTTTAGTAAGTTTAAGCTTGCATGGAGTAGAAGAGCACTTGAGGTGAAGATCCTGAAGGTGTTTTTGAAACGAAAGCGTCACACGGATAGTTTCTTTGGGTCACCCCCATCACGGTTTTCCGCTCGGTCCCCGGCACTCTCGCCGTCACCCTTTTCCAGCCCGCCGCCGACCCGGAGTTCGTCTTCGCCCTGCTCGCCTTCGGCCTCCTCTCGCTCGTTCGCAGCCTTCTCGCCGACGCCGTCCTCGCGGGGCTCTCCCTGCGCGGCGGCCACCTCCGCCGGCCGACGGTGGCGGGCCTCCAGCTCCCGCTCCAGCAGAGCCACGCGGGCCTCCATTTTGCGGTTACTGGACTCGGCCTCCGCCATGAGGCGAGCCAGTTTGGTTTGCAGGGCGTCCAGGACGCTCGCCAACCCGCCGAGCTTGGTCTCCACTTGCTGAGCGCCGCCCCCCGCCGCCGCCCCGCCGTCATCAAGCATGCCCATTTTGGTGAGGATCTGGCGGCCCTTCTCCTCCAGGTGGCGTTTGGCCGCCGGGTACTCGGACAGTACGTCTGTCAGGTCCTCTTTGGAGAGGCTGAAGAGGTCCGAGTAGCCGATGCTTCGGATGTTGGCGGTGCGCCGATTGCCCGACTTGTTGCCTACCGTGTGAACGTTGGGATTAAAAAGGCGATCGCCACAAAGTCGGAGACCGCGGAGGGCCTGACCTTTGATGTTAAGAATGCTGATTTCTCCAAAGAAGTTCCCTTCGCCGAGCACGGCAAACTCAGTGATGCCGTCGTCTGCCACCACGGCCAGCTTTCCTTCTTTGATGATGTACATCTCATGGCCCACGTCGCCCTTCCTGCACACGTACTCCCCTGGACTGAAGACCTGCACCACGCACGCAACCACCTCTTGTCATCCCAACTCCTGCAATCTCAACTGCTGCTCACATCAAAACATACGCTCCCAACACCACGCCTAGAATACTGACGCTCGTATCATCGCCACCTCGAACATCAACATGCATGACCCGAACTGGTCTGCTCTCCCCGTGACTTCACAAATCACAAACTTGACCGAGGCTAAGACCCCCAACACCGGCAGCCCATGCGCACGCCACGCCACAAACGCTCTCTGGCTGACCTGCGATGTTAGCTTGAGCACCAGCTCCTCCAGGAGACTCTTCTCGCAGCTCTGGAAGATGGTGACCTTGGAGAGGGTCGGCAAGTGGACGCTGACTGCGATCTCAGTTCTGAGGTGGACCGGTAACTGCTGCAGAATCTCGTTCTCGCGCATGATTTTCTTGTTGATGTGCAGGTGCTGGTACCAGTTGTCAATGCGCTGACGCAGCTCCTTGCTGATGTGGTGGCTGCGCAGGAAGGCCTTCACCTAAAACACCCAGAAGGAAGCACCGGCGATGGGACACCCAGGTCCGGCACCGAATGGTGTTGGGCCGGGTTGCCGTTCCCTTTGTTGCCGCTATATTGTGCTCCTACGTCAGTAGTTTTGCTTGCAAGGTTGTCGATCGAAGCTGGGTCATTCAGAATGGCCTTGTGGTTAAACCACACACCACATTTCGCTCTCTCACATCGGGCTGTTAGACTACCAGATAAATATCATTCTGTGTCTTGGAACAGGTGAGATGTCGCACTACAAGCCCCTCACCGTCAATATTCCATCCCTCAGTGCAGGACCGTCGGGGAGGCGGGACAAGTATCGGTCAAAGTCATGTCGACGGAGGCATGATGTGCATGGGAAACAAAAAAAAAAGGAATGATGGGCCCGTTCCTAGATAATGGGGAGAGGGCAATACGGCCTGTCTATTCTCCAAAACAGGACCTGAGGTCACAAATTTGTGTGATGAGACGTTTGCTAATCGGCGACTAGCTTTCCAGTTCGCAAACGGTGCCCGAGTTGAACTGCTACGTGTACTTTCCGATATTTCCCCTTATGTTTGAGTCCCTTTTGAAATCCTGTACTGTCCACCACATTGTGATCGCCTGCGCCACGTCATAAGTAGGGGGCCCGCTCATGTCTTCCTATTGGTCAATGGCGAAGAACCGTTTGAAGGACGCGGTAGGACATGTCACACTCGGCGGCAAGACAAACAAAAATTCAGACGTGCCAGAGCTTCGTCCATGTCATCGTGACGCCTCGCGGCCACGGGCTGTGATGCGTCGAGACAACTCCAAATAGCCTCGGTGGCACGTTTGTCCGCGACTCGTCTGTCGGCTCAGAAATCGGGCTACGTTCATGCAGTCTGACAGCGTGTGAAGTCACGGCATCGTCGTATGTGACTTCCTCTGCCACCAATCTTACCAGCTCGTGATCGGGAAAAAAGACGTTGTCGCGGTCCCTCAGGTTGGTGATGACGTTGCCCACGTTTCCCACGATGGACGCGAAGACCAGCACGGCGATGAGGAGGTCGGCTATCATGAACAGGAAGGCCTCTTCCTGACGGGGCAGCGGTGTGTCTCCAACAGTGGTGAAGATCTGGGCTGAGAACCAGAAGCAGTAGAAGTACTGGCGGCGGGTGGACGCGAACACCGGGTCGGATATGTTGGGGTAAACCCAGCCGTCGCTCCCGAAGCCAATGTAGTCGGAGAGCGTGAAGTAGAGGCAGGCGTTCCAGTGGATCAACACAAAGATGTAGATCATCAGCTTGGTGATGCGGAAGGTGTTGGGGTACGAGGTCCTGGTCTCCATGCGGTCCAGGGCCTCGATGAGTCTCGGCGTGCGAAGCAGACGGTTGATCCGCACCGTGGCCGCCTGGATGCCGAAGACCAGGTAGAACAAGTCGGTAGGCAGCAGGGACGCCAGGTCCCGGAAGAAACGCCCGGAGCGAAGGTAACGAGTCTTCAGACGACCCAGATCTCTAATCAGGACGCCCTGCTCCAGGTAGCCTGGAGACGGTACAAAACCGTCCATCAACAAGCCGCAACCACGAAACCGATGGGGTTCACCACACGGACAGGGCTCCGGCTTCCGCCTACAAATGTCCGCCGGTCCAACTATTTCTGTTTGCCAGAGCGTTCTGCGGGATTTTTGAAAACACAATCAGCTAGTCAACGTTAGGGCATGCAGAAGGACATGGATGGTTGCATGTTCAAAGAGTCTCCAGATGCGCCTGCTCCCTTACGGGATTCAGGATTCAACCGAAGACCGACCGGAAATAGCAACAGTTTGGAGACAAAGTTGTGGACGGTGCCGTGAAAGCATCATTACCTTACGTATGACAAATATTCCCATATTTTGCAAGGGTGCCACTCTAACCTGCTGACATGACGCAGGCTGCTTTTTCAATCGTCGTCACAATACAAACGACCCACAGGAGGAGTATGTCGAGCTCCCTTGTTGCCCAGAAACATTTATCCGACAGTCAGATGCGGACCCATCATTCCTACCGGAACGCACGGCGACGATCATGTCGGCAGCGTACATCAGATCCGACGCATAGTCCAGGGTGAGCCACACCGCCAGGTAGCCCAGGGCAATGGAGGGGAAGCACGTCCTGTCAAACCAAACAAACACGCAAAGGCTCCATTTCGGTCGGCGTCGCATGTGGAAATCCTGCTTCGGGCTGATTTGTTCGCTCCGGGCGCCACGCGCGGCCTTCCGGCGTCCTCTCTGAAGACCCGCCCCACTGGCAGGACGGCAATTTGGGTGGCAGAGAGTCACTCCAAAGCGACAACGGCTCGGACCGAGTCGAAACAGTGGCGCAGCTGCGAACGAGGCATTGAGATGACGCCGCATACCTGAGGATGATGACGACCCAGTTGTAGACCACGGGCGGAACCATGAGCTGCAGCCAAACGTAGTAGAAGTGTTCGGCCGGGTCCACCACTCGGCTTGTCCGGCTGGAAACAAACAAGGAGCAATTTCAATGAACTAACTTGACTTCCTGAGATGACGAACCCAAGGCTTATCCCCTCGGTCTTCGACTTGCTTCCTTCTCGGCCAGGGCGGCCGTGGCAAAGGGTAGCCGACGGCGCGGGTCGCCGACCTTTTGGAACGTGAGACCTACTTCTCAAAGTATTTGATACAACTCAGTCATCACCAAGTCCAAATCTTCACGTTGAGCATGTGAAGGATTTCGCACAAGAACTCCGAAACCGATAACGCTATCAGTCTGCAGCACTTTATTTGAATGTATTTTCAATTCATCGCGTTCCAAGAAAATCACAATGTCCCATCACGGGTGAGATCTTTTGAGAAGAGCCCTGCGGGCTACTCATCTGGTTCTCAGGCTGGGGATTCCGAGCCTACGTCGTGCCGAATGGAAGCCTCGGGGGGTCGACAGAAGCCACTCGCGCTAATTCCACTTGCAAGTTTGAAAACATTTTCAAGCGAAAATACAATTGTTGGGTTTGTTTTGTTTTTTTTTTTGCACATCAACATTGTATAGGAAACTGAAATGATCATGAATTGGAATGAATTCTTGTTCGTATGATTCGTCGTCGTCACGGTGGTAGTGGTGGCGGGGTGAGTCGGAGCAGAAGTTAATCCATCAAGAGTGATTTGGATCCGCGGACTCTTGAGGACTCACGTCTCCAAAATTCCCACCAAATAAATGACATCGCACGCAATAGAACCAACATATGCTGTACTGACAGCTAGACGCTGGCTGAGTACGAATGTGTCGGTTGAACTGAGTAAAATGCGGTTTTCAGTCCTGCGTGCGGCTCTTTTTCTTCTTCCTCTGCCATCGTTTTCCCTTGCTGTTGTTTTTGCTCTTCTTCCTCTCGGCCCGGCTCGCCGTCTCCGTCAGCGTCTCGTCGGGCGGCGACCGCTCCCGTGTCCTCTCCTCCGCCGTCTCGCCCTCGTCGGCGTCCCGAATCCGCGGCTCGTCGTCGTCCCGTCGGCGAGCGATCCTCTGGTTCCACCTCCTCTCCACGAGCAGCTCCATCTCCAGCTGCCCCAGCCTCTTCCTCCAGGTCTCCTCCGAGTCGCTCATCCGTCGCCGGTGGCCCAGCTCCAGGGCGTCGTAGCGCTTCCTCCAGCGCTCCTCGCTCTCCTTCAGCTGCATCTCGCGCAGGGTGAGCTGGTGCAGGGTGTCCACGAAGGCCCGAGTTCGAGCTCGCCGCCTCCACAGGACTTTGGCCAGCAGGGCGTCCTTGCCGCTCAGCTCGGAAACGTGGCGCAGTTCCAGGAGCACGATGTGCTGCTTCAGGGTTTGGTTCTCCTGCCGCAGGGCCTCCACCTCCCCTGTCGCGGGCTCCCATTGGCGCTCTGCATCCATGTCGTCCGCTCGGTTCGGGATTGTCGCCGAGGCGTCGGAGCCTTGCTCTAAGTTTTGTCCGATTGGCGCCCAGTGTCACAAAGCTGGGACGCATCATCTGAGGTGACATCGTCCTGAAAGACAGGACGCCGTTGTCCTCATCGGCGGCCGCATCGTCGGGTCAGCGTCGCCGAACGAATCGCCCTTCCGAAATCGGCTCCGGTCGATGCGGTTGTCCAGAACCATCGGGACCGGGAACGGAAGTTGGGGCACACCGGCTCGAGGACATCAACCCCCCCGACGATCTTACGTCTCATTCAATTGCCCTGCAAGATATCCTCATGTCTGACGGGAGTGGCTTTGTCCCAAACAGAAGGTCCGAAACGAGTCGGGGCCGTCAGTCTCAAATTAGGAACGTGTTTGATAGTTATCCACCAGAAAAATCTCCATGTGTGCTGAACGCTCATTTTCATTCTTTGGATTTTGCTGCAGCGTGAGTGTTGATTTTAGCTTGACTGTTTTTTTACGATCTTCCTTATCAATGCATGGTTTCATCCTTTGTTGTTGGAGCCTATGACTTTTTTTTTTTTTCGCTCCACGTAGAGCACTTTGTATACAGCGGCGGTTCGAAAGTGCTCGAGAAATGAGTTGAAGACCGCACGCTGACGTTGAAAAGCCTTGTTGTTGGTCTACTCACGTTGGGGGGGCCTCACGGGGATCCGTCCCGTCTCGGCCGAGGCGGGTCCCGACGTCGCCGTCTTCGTCGTGGGCCACTTTGGACCTCTGCCGGGCACGGAGCCACGCGGAGGCCGGGCCACCCGAACCTGTGTTCATGGTCGCTTCAAATCTGCTGGACGCGTGCGTGGTCGTGTGCGCGTGCAAGCGAGAGAGGCTTTTGTCACTATGGACGACAGCACAACACGGTCGTCTCCTCCGGGAGTGTCTTCAGTCCCTTCGGGACATCTGAGGATGCGCCGGGAAGCGCTTGTTGTTTTCAGATTTCAGTGTCTCTTTCCTTGGCATCATTACCTTTCATAAGAGGATGACTTTTTGGGTTCTTGGAAGTCAAGAAAATGCTGCTTTATGATTTCCCTTTTCTCCCCACCGTGGCCTTCGGAATTTTAAATTTAACTCTCTCAACAAAATACCATTCTTATTTTCGAAGTTTTGTTTTTGAAATCTCAAAAAAATACAACTTTTCATTTTTGGAGACTTTTTTAAATTAATGCTTATCTTTAACTTTTATGAAAGCCCCCCCCCCAAAAAAAAGGAAAAAATTTGGAAGCATCACGGACACCAAAAAAATGTATTTTATTCAGAAGGAATATGAATGTGATCAAGAGATTAAATTTCTCCGAGTGATTAATGTTTGACGTTTTTAAGAGTATTTTTTCTGTTTGAGTATTAATTTTCTGTTTGTTGGGATTCCGAGTATGTTGTTGTTTTTCAGGATATTGTATTTTTTCATACCCCCAAAAAAAATACTCCGAAGAAACAAACAAAAAAAAAACCCACCACTCAATACATTTTTTTTCCATGTAAATGCAAAATGCGCTTCTGTATCTCCGAACCCTAAATATATGATTGTGTATATTGTTTCGAATGCGCTCTGATCTGATTAGAAAAATCCGGAAACTTGAGGACTGGGTGGGGATGGTTAGTCACGCCCCTATGGTGAAGAGGCCCATTGGTTTCTAAACTCCCTATCATTGGGTCTTGATTAGGCCTATTGTTTGGGCTAAGGCTGAATAGTTGTTGGGATTCCGAATATGTTGTTGTTTTTCAGGATATTGTATTTTTTCATACCCAAAAAAAATACTCCGAAGAAACAAACGTAAAAAAAACCCACCCCTTAATACATTTTTTTCCAAGTAAATGCAAAATGCGCTTCTGTATCTCCGAACCCTAAATATCTGATTGTGTATATTGTTTCGAATGCGCTCTGATCTGATTCGAAAAATCCGGAAAACAGAAAAAAAGAACGAATTCAGAGGAAAAAAGGTGAGGCATCTTTATTTGCGTATCTATTACATATTTCGTCAAGTCGACGTGCTGGACATGATTCGAAATACATTTAAAACAACGCTACTGTTTTCGCCTTTCCACCGAAATCGCGATTTTTTTCCCCCTTTTTCCGTGTGGGTTCCAGAAGCGGCACGTGCTCGTGCCCGGCCCGCAGGGCTGACGTGCACGAGCACGTCGTCGGGCGGGGTCAGTGGCGTTGGTCCAGAACTGAGTGTTAGTCGATGCTAGCTGACGCCGGAGAGTCCGAGCGAGCGCCTTCCCGAAGAGGACAGACAAGCAGCTAGCGATGCCCCCGCTCCAACGCGGGCGGCGGCGATGTCCAGACCAACCCGCAACCCGTGAAATGCGCAAATGACAGAGCCGATGGTCAAGAAAGAAAGAAAGAAATCAAAACTGCACGCAACGCTGGACGATATGGGCTGAAAAGTCAATCGCCACGCAAGTCCTATCAGTCGATAATCGGTACCGATTTCCTTTTTAATGATCAAAATTAGGGCCGAAGTAAAAAGGCTGAGTTTAGGTCATCTAATGAAAATACAGTGGATCAGAGTTACCCCCCTCTAATAAGTGCCGAACATCATTATTGAGTGAAATCCTATTTGTGTCATCTTTGCCAGCTGACAGCTCGTTACCAAGGTGAGCCCTACTTCACTTTTAGCCTCCGTGATTCACGTGAAATATTTCAACCTTTTTCTCAAAGCGGCTGTTTGAATTTTATGGTTTCAATCCAAGTTCCTCAACCGGGAAATATGACAGGAATTTTTCGATGACACCTTCTTTCTCCCAAATGAGCAACATTGTTGGTTTGGGTATAAACGTGCATCTTAATTGATTTACATGCAATCAAATCACACGATCCTTTTTCAGCGATATAGTTGGAACACTACGGGATTAAAGAAAAAGGCATATTTTTGTTTCTTTTAGGACAGGGGTGTCAAACTCATTTTTGTCATTGGCCACATTTTCGTGACAGTTTCCCTTGGAGCGCCGTTATGACTGAAACCAAATTTTAGAAAGTCAATAAGTCAACGGTTTATTCAACTATTGTTTAAGTTTCTGTAATGAGGGGTTTAGCGACAAGACCATGCTTACAATGTGTCTCTTATTTATTACATATGAGAATTTTAAATTTTGGTCGAGATTTTAGCCAGCATCATAGAAGTTGATGTCTGATTTGCTTTCGCGGGCCACATAAAATGATGCGGTGGGCCAGATCTGGCCCCCGGGCCTTGAGTTTGACACCTGTGTTTTCGGAGATCGGCATCTTGTAAAGGTATTTTAGGGAGAAAGAAGTCCTAGCATTAGCTCACATATTTCCATGTTTTTACTAGTTTTTTTTTCTTTTCTTCAAGAAAATTAATTGTGATCGTACAAAAAAATATTTTTCCCCCCCTCATAACTTTCAGGAAAATAAAGACAGACTCCTCTGAGACAAAAAAAAAAACAAACAAATCTTCTGAAGATAAAGTTATTTTATTGATCCATTTATTTTTCTTGAAGAAAGAAGTCCGTCTTAACAATTCCATATTTGTAGTATTTGTCTGGCTAAAAAGCAAATGGTCCCGTCGTGGAAAAAAGTAGCAATGGCATGAAAGGCGATTGATGCTTTGTTCCTGGTTTCGGTGTCGGCAGCGGCTGGGCCCCACCCTGGGGTGCAAAGGTCGTCGGTCGGCTCGGCGCTCGCCTCCCCGCGTGCACGCCTGCGCTCCGGCTTGAAGGAGGTCGTCGCGTCTTGGAAGTGGCCCGTCCGTCTCGGGAAGCTTGTCCGACTTGGGCGTCAAAGTTTGCCTTCGTCCTGCTTCGGTTGCCGGACGCGTTCGCAGTCAGTAAGTATTTATTTATGTATGGATTTATTTATTGACTTACGTCCTCATGAGGACTCGAATGCCTTCTTCAGCTTGCCTGTTCAAAGGTAAGATGAAAGCGGTTTAAAAGTTAACTTGTGGATAATAAATGTCAACACTTGGTTGGACTTGGGAGTTGAAAGGTGGCCAGAGATTTGTCCGGATCGCCGGTGCGCCTGCGATCTTTGGAAAGCGCTTTTGCCAGAGCGAACGGCGGCCCGAAAACATCTGGGCCAGCAAATCTGTAATGATTTAGCAATACGTCAGAAGATGGCGGAATTGCACCGCTCAGCACAGCCGTTGAGTAGAAGATTCAGATTAGGCATCAAATGTCGGCTCGTTGCCTGAGTGATTGCGAGAGAGAGCGACGCCGACATGTTGGAAGTCTGTCAAGGTGAGGCACCTGACACGCAAACGGCGTTGGGGCTGCGGGTCCGCGGTCAGATTGATAATCATGATTATTTTGATCAATATTGCAATCGTGGTGGTTCCTCGCAGTTGTGAACGAGACTTTTTTTTTTTAAATTGAAACTTTTGATACATACGGTAAGCAACCAGCTAGCCTCCGCTACCGGAATGCTCACATACAATGCGCTGACGCTGACGACGATGTTCTCGGGCCGACAGCAAGCATGGAGTGGTCGTGGCTGCAGACCGGATGACGGGTTGTGGCCGGAGAAGGGCGTCGCAGCATTTCCTGCTCGTGAACCCTGAGTGAGAGTGACGACGGGGGACCGACCCCGCGACCGCCCACCGCCCCCCGGCCCGTCCCAGCCCCGCGCCTCGCCTTTAAATAGCGCAGCCTGCGGCTACTGGGTCATCGTCGCCCGAAGATGAGCTGGCTCAGCAGGTTGACGCCGCGCACCCCCGCTGCTCGTCCGGGACGGGGCGCCACCCCCCAGGAGGCGCCTTCGTGCACCGCCGACCCCGAGACCTGCTTCATGGTCTTTGAGAACCACTGGAGACAAGTGAGTGCTTCGACGCCAACCGTATTGATAGCAAGTCGTGCCCTTTGGAGGAAAATACATTCAAAACAATGCAAAAGGTTTTCTGCGATGAATGTCATTTATTAGGAATGGCGTCGTCATTTTTCAACAGTTCCAAGTTGAATCGTGTTGTTTTTTTTTTTTTTTGAGAATAGGGTCGCGTTTATTCGACAATAAAATGGACCTTACTCAAAAATGAAAAGTGAGGTTGTTTTTTTTTTTTTCCCCCTCAAGATGAGACAAGTTGATCTTGTTGAAGCGTCAGAGGAAGTAACACTTGATTATCAAGCGCAGTCATCTGCTGCGCTGCCTCCACCACCCGTTTCTTGCTGATGTACACGCAGAGAAAGAAAATGTCGTTTCCGGGGCATATTTCCTGAAGAAAAAACAAAAAAGTCATCTCAAAGAGAATAAAGTTGAAGTATATCGTACGTAGGTGTGTGCACGTATATCTCTCAATCTAAAATATATCCAAAATGGTTTCCTCCTCTCCCACCGGCGGGGGATCTCGGGTCCTCTAGCAGAGGGTGACCCTTCCTTCTCCCATCGACTCTTTGAGTCTTGACACATTTGGGGGTGCTGCGCTACGCTAACGTGGCGTTTGCATTCCGTAGGTGTCGCGCGTGCTGGACCAGAGCGAGCTGTCACGCTCCACCGACGACCTGATCGCCGTGAGGAACCACACAGACCAGATGTTCTGCCTCCTGGCCGAGGAGCGGCCCCCGCAAGGCGGCGGCGGCGACGACGGCGGCGGCGAAGGCGTGGGGCCCATCCTGCAGCTGGTGGTCCGCGAGGGGGTCCTGGAAAGCCTTCTGCGGTGGCACCTCCGCGGCGACCCCGACGCGGACAGCCTGGGGGCGCTGCTCAAGCTCTTTGAGATGCTGATTGGCCAGTCGCAGCAGGCCTTGCTGCGACGCCCGGCCGTCCTGCACCCGCTGCTCAGGGTGGTGGGGGCCTGCGCCCACTCGGAGCGCGGGTGCCCCCCCGCGCTGGAGAACAGCCTGGTGCTGCTCCTCAATCAGGTGTGCGTGCGGGTGGCGCGCGAGCCGGCGCTGCTGGAGACGTTGTTGCGGGCGGCTCCGGCGCAGCGGGGCTCCTCCGACCTGCCGCTCTTCTCCCTGCTGGTGCCCTTCATCCATCGCGAGGGCGCCGTCGGACAGCAGGCGCGGGACGCCCTGCTGCTGGTCATGGCCACCTCGGCCGCCGACCGCGCCGTGGCGCGCTACATCGCGCACAACTCCTACTTTTGCCCCGTACGTATACGCACCCGCGCGCGCACAAACCGCAGGCTCAACTCTTGACGACCATCTTCATGGCGGCGTACGCCCAGCAGCTTAGCCCATGAAAGCTAGCACATCACGGGTAGACACGCAAAAGACACGGCATGTCCACCATTTTGCTTTCAAGCAGCCAACTCAAAACATTTTCACGCGTCCTTCAAAAGCCCTCGAAGGCAGTTTGAGCTCGCCACATGAAACTCGGTAGGCGTGTCAGGCCTCCAAAAGCGCCCCGTGGTCAAAATGACAGAAGACCTCCGCCATTTTGGTGTGAAGAGGCCATATCGGCCTCACGTCCTTCCAAACGACAAAATCGTTGAGCGGTGATAACGCGCGATTTCCCCCCGCGGCAGGTGCTCGCGACGGGTCTGAGCGCGCTCTACTCCTCGCTGCCCCGCAAGATGGAGGTGCACGGGGACGACTGGCACGCTTTGCGGCGCGAGGACTGGATGGGGGTGTCGTCGCTGGCGGTGTTCATGAACTCGCTGGAGTTCTGCAACGCGGTGGTGCAGGTGGCCCACCCCATGGTGCGCTCGCAGCTCCTGGACTATCTGCACAACGGCTTCCTGGTCTCCGTGGTGGCGCCCGCCCTCTACAAGGTACGAAACAAGACAACGAGGTGCTTATTTTCACAGTTTCTCAAAATGAATTGTTGCAAATTCATGCTGCGCTTTGTGTCACGCTTGTTGGGCCCGCTTCCACCTTCATTCAAACCTCAGAAGAAAAATATTGTTCAAAGCTTTTGGTTTTGGGGCAGGAAAAAAATGAGGAAATGGCCATATTGCCCACTTGTAGGGCGACGTGAGATCGAGTCAAGTCAAGTCGGCTTTGTTGTCCGACATGCTCCATGTGCAACATTCGGCACAGATGAAATGTTTCCTCTCAACCGCGGCGCAAACACGCAGTGCGTTGAAAACACACACAGCTAAAAATCAGGGCAGCCAAACGGAACAGCATAAAAAAGACACATGAATAGAAACAAATAAAACAATAAATAGCAATCAACAGACAACCAAGGGCACTTGTGATTATTGCGGGTTCAAGTTCGCTCGTGCATTCAGTGCAATCATTGGGCAACAAATTAGAGAGAAGGAGCAACATCGCGGTGGTGATGCTGGAAGGAGATGTGACACAGCTCTTCTTGTGACATACGTAACTGTGTGCGTGCGTGCGTGCGTAGTCGTCGGTGGATGAGATGATTGCCAGCACGGCCTACCTGGACCTGTTCCTGCGCAGCGTGAGCGAGACATCCCTACTCAAGACCTTCCTGCGCTTCATCCTGCTGCATCGCCTCGACGACGACTCCATTCTGGACACGCTGCTCACGCGCATCGGCGGCAACTCCAGGGTGGGAGCACGCGCGCATATCCCGATCACGTCGGTGCCACTTTTTTTTCCTCTCTCTCTTTGCCACCAAAAAAAACAAATTGACACACACCAGGGCTGAAAGCTTGGGCGAAAGTCCAAGTACCTGGATGAGACTCGTATAGGAAATAAATGCCAGTTCACATCAATTAACTGATGCCTGCTACGTCAAGCGAAGACGGCCACTTGAATTAGCAACGCGACAAGATTTTGCCCCACAATGACCATGTGTCATCATGCCAAGTATGGCCGCAAGTGAAATAGTTTGCCAAAATGTCCACTCAAAACAACTTTGTCGTGATTTGGGAGTGGTAAATGTTCAAAAATGAATCGATCAAAGCCAAAATGTCTTCGTTTTGAGGTCGGTTTGGAAACTTCTTGTTCTAGCAGTACTGATTGTGACTTTTGGTGTTTGTTTTGCACTCGAAAAATATTCCAGATATAAAACATGCAGTGTAAAAACCAAAAGTAACAACAACTCAAATGAAGCCTTTTTGTACTTCCTACTGGAGGGCTCAGTTGTTGTTTTTTCTGAATTTATTTCTTCGAAAAGATTCTTCAGGCGTTTGAAGTGGTCATTCCACTTTTTTTTTTTTTTTAATTCCACTTTTCGAAGTCTGTCCTGTCGCCTGTTCTTGACTTGTTTTATTTTTAATCTGAGCCTCAAATTTGAATATGAAGAATCAGTCATCCGTACGTTTTTGGAGAGATGTAGAAAAAAAACAAAATTCCAAATGAGTCACTTTTTGTTTGAGTTGAAAAAGGGAGGGAGGAACGAATGTTGGCCAGCGGGAAGGATTGCCATGTGTGTTGGGGGTGGTGAGTGAAAGCGCGCCTTGTTGTGCTTGCGGCAGCTCTGCATGGTGTCCCTGAGCCTCTTCCGGACTCTTCTGTCGTTCAACTGCGAAGACATCATGCTGCAGCTGGTCCTCAGGTGAGTGCGCCCGCCCCCCACCGTCGGCGGGTGACGTTAGCGTCACGTCGGACGGCGTCATTGGGCCGTGACCCGCTCCGCCGGCCTCCAGGTACCTGCTCCCGTGCGGCCACGTCATGCTGAGTCAGCGCCGCGCCATCCGGGAAGCCGACATGTACGGCAAATGCGCCGACAAGTTCCTGTCGCTCATCCCCGAGTGCTGCCGCACCGTCGCGGCGCCCCTAGCCGTGCGGGAGGAGGACGCCTCTTTCAGGGGCAAAGGTGAATGCCCAGGGGTCCAAAGTCCCCGTCGACTTGGCGGACGGTTCACCCGGGAAGTTTCCGCGGGAATGTAAGATGTGGGACGTTGCATATTTTGCTTCCTCCTGTCCACAGCGGCGGTCTACAGTGCGGACGGGGAGTCCCCGGCGCCGCCCAGACCCAGCACGCCGTCCCGCTTGGCATTTTTCATCCGCCAGCAGAGCGGCGGGACCCCGACGGGGGCTCCACCCGGCCCCGGCGGCTCGGAGTCTCCGCAGTCGGCCGCCCCCGACAGCCCCGCGTACCGGCCGCAGCCTGAAATTGCGGCGTGGGATTCAGGCTACCTGGATTACCTGAAGGATGCCCGGCGAAGCATTGAGCTTTGCTCCTGGGCGTGTCGGGACTGGTCGGCGCCCTACGATGGTGAGAAGCCCTCCCCGAGCGCCGCGCCGCTCCCCCCGGGCCCTCCCACGTACGCCCCCTCTACGGCCGCGTACCCCGAGCACTCGTGCCTCCAGCCGGGGGGCGGCTCGCCATCGGCCAAAGCGACCGCATCCCCCTTACGCCGCGCTCCAAGAAGCGCAGCTTGCAGCAGCGCGACGAACTCCTCCAAAAACCCGCTCCTCCGCACCTTCGCCTGGCGCCTTTGCCCACTTCCCCGCCGGCGCCAGACAACCCCGCCGCCACCTCCTGCGCGCCTTTGTTCAACGGCACGGCGGGGCCGGGGAGAGAGCTGGAGGCCAAGAAGGCGAAGCGACACTCGGACCACGAGGAGTTTTTGGACGAGAACGCCAATCAAAACGGATGCCCGAGCAAAGATGCCGGCGATGCCCGCACGCCGCTGCCCGACGCCGCCGACGCCTCCGCCCAGCAGCGCGCGCCGACGGTGGAGAGCCTCATCCGGGAGCTTCTGGAGCAATCTCCCGGCGAGGCGCGGCCCCCCGACCACGCCGACGTTGAGGGTATCAGCATCGAGGCCTTCACCAGGGAGCTGAAGGAGCTGGAGGCTCGGGCGACGCCGCCTCCTTGCGCCGTGGAGACGTCCCCGGGCGACCGGCGCCGGCAGGACAAGGATCTGGAGGAGAAAATGTCCGCCGACGTCAAGGGGGAAAGTTCCGAAACGGGCGTCTGCAGTCCCGCCAGGCCTCTCGCTCTCGTTCAGGGCTCGTGTCAGCCGTACACGGGTAAGAACCTCACAGTTTTTCCTGGCCGGTATGGCATTGGGCCTCTGATCTTTTGCTCAAATGTGATTTGAAAGAGCGCGAGAGAAAGTCTGTCGTTTGCAATGAACGTCCAGGTCCGCTGATGGCGGTGCTGCTCGCCAAGCTGGAGAACATGCCGCACAACTCGCTGTACGTCAACATCCTGCTGACGGGCATCGTGGGGCGGCTGGCGTGCTACCCTCAGCCGCTGCTGTGCTCCTTCCTGCTCAACACCAATATGGTCTTCCAGCCCAGCGTCAAGTCCCTCATCCAGGTCAGCCGTCGCCCTCTCGACCTCTTCCCCGGCCTCCGGTTGGACTCAAGTCTCGCCCGGTGGCGGGGCTTGCTTGGCGCTCGCTAGGCTCAACGTTCGGAACAAACTTTTGGTGGAGGCGGGGCAGCTTGATTTTGGTTTGGCGCGTTTTGCGGACACGATTACCGAATGAGCTTCACTTCAAAGTTCAGCATTTAAAAGCAAAACGCAAACCAAATAATGGAACCCAAAGTCAAGAAATCAAAAGCTGCCAGCTAAAAGAATGTACGGTGCAAGAAAATCATTTGAGAAAACATTTAAGATGGTTTGAAAGACCGTCATAGGAATTCACGGGGGAGGGGGTGGGGCAAGCATGCTTCAGAACCTGGATCGAAAAGCATTGACACTCGGGGGCGGCTTCATTCCATTTGCATGCAGCACAACAGCTAAAGTGCCGCTTCACCATGTTTGCTTTGAACTCTGGGCTCCACCCATCGACCCAAGTCCGCAGCCCGACCGGGTCGATATTCTGTTCGTGTTACTTCCAGGACCTGAACCGATCAGTGATTCATAAAGCAGTAGCAGAAATTTCAAGTCCGTTCTCCAGCCGATGGGGTCGCGCCCTTTTCTTGAGACGCTTTTTCATCGTTGCGATAGGTCATCATTTGGTTTTCTGTCGAGCTTTACCGGGGAGTGGCGTTGAGCAGTTTTTGTTTTGAAATTTGGCGAGTCGGTCACTGCCACCACATGGCGGCCGCGTCGAGTCTACGCTCGCAAGTTGAAACACCAAAAATGGGTCGAACGACGGCTCGCGCCTTGAAAAAGGCACAGTTGTATTTGGGAAACGGCCGCTTCTGTCTCCAGGTGCTGGGCTCTGTGAAGAACCGCATCGAAGCCTTCGCCGCCTCCCATGAGGACTTCCCCGCCATGCTGAGGAAAGCCCAGCAGTACCTGGTGGCGCGCGGCAAGGTGGACTGGAGCGAGCCGCCCGGCGCCGTCCCACCCCTTCGGCGCTCGGATTCGCTAGGTGAGCGCGGGTTTCAAACGGGCGGCTGCGGTGACTTCCTCTCGCGCTGACTCCCGCCCGCTCTTCTCTCGTGCCAGTCAAGAGCCGCAAGTCGTCCCTAAGCGAGCTGATCCTCCGCCACACCAGCAGCCCCACTCGGACCCGCAGCGCCGCCCAGATGGCTCTGGCCCACGTGCGGGTGGGCGGCCAGACGCTGCACAGCGCTCTGTTCCGCGGCGGCGCCGGAGCGTCCAGTCTGGAGAAGCAGGCGGAGGCGCTGCGCGTGAAGAACGCCGTCTACTGCGCCGTCATCTTTTGCGAGTTCCTCAAGGAGCTCGCCGCCCTCGCCCAGGAGCACGCCGTCGCCTTGCCCTTCGCTCGCACTGACGCCGAGGAGTAGTACATGGCCGAGGGTCGCGCGCCGAGGGCTCCGCTCCATGAAGTGGACCTCAACTGTGCCCGCAGGTAGACACTTTAGACGAGCTTCCGAGGAGAACCGGCCCCTTGAGGAGTGGAGGACTAGAAGTCGATGCCTTGGAATACATGCGGAGGGGTAGGGACTGCGAGCAACGGGCGTGGAGGTCGAGATGCCCGGATTCCGACTAGGAGGAATAGATGGGTCAAAGACAAAGGGGCTCGGTTTGGACCAGTTGCAGCCGGTTTTGGTCCATTCGGGCTCAGTAAGTTGCCCTTGCGGCCGCTTTGGTCCAGTGACGGCCCATCAGCCAACAGTTTCGGACGACGGGGCCAAAATTCGGAGGTTATCTCTGCAGCGTCTTTTGACTCCATCCTGCTAGCATTTGGTGCTAATTGCCAACAAGGCACTTGCAAACACTAACGGTCTTTTGGTCTTTTGTGTCACGTGTGGAAGCATTTGGCGCTGAACAAAGAAAAAGGGAGGGAGAAGAGCTTTTCGGACTTCCTCTCGTAAGAATGTTTGTCGATGAGACTTTTGTCTTCCTCCATTAATGTTCCGGAGGCGATTTGTCCCTCCTCCCATAGTCGTGACATCATCTCTTTTAATGTTCAACCATCAAGTGAAAAGCAAAAGTTGATTGGAGGTTGGTTCTGACTCTCAAAACAAACAAAAACAGTGTGTGTGCAAGGCGGAGGCACTTGTCTCCTCGTCTACATGCCAAGTGTGGTTGGTGTTGATTTTTCTTGTTCCCGTGCCATGTTTGACTCCTCACCCGATCAAATGTTTCATCCAGTTTGCAACTATGCAAAAACGTGGCGGCAGTCAGCACCTGAAAACTGCGCGTGTAAATTTTGTCAGGCAAACAACAAACAAATTATTCTGTACGAAGGAGAAACACGGAAGACGTAAAAAAGGAATATTTTTGTACATGATTGCCATTGCATGTGTGTGTGATGGGTGGAGAACAATCTGTCACGAAAAACAAAACACTAAAGGGAATGTTTTTATTAATTTATAAAGTCTTTGTTAGCAACGAGCTCCCCTTGTGTGTCTCAACTCTCTCTTTGTTAAAAACGCCATTGAGTGGTCCCGTGCCAAACCAAATAGGGTGGCAGCCCTTTGGAGTCGATGCAAATGGTCAAAAAAATGGACCCGGTGGCTTGAGTGAGTGCGTTAAAACGTCTCAGTCACAAAACCTGACGGGAAGAGCAAAAACAACGTCCTCCCGTAATTATGGTGATACAAATTGCCCCTACACAAATTGTATGGCACAGCAGGGTGTGAAAATATTTCAACTTATAAGTGGAATCAAACGTTTCTCCAGCTCCAAAGATGCTTACCTACCCATTGGACATCAAGAGACAAAGTCAAAAAGGTCGAAGGCATGAGCACAATTTCAAAAGACGCAGTGCCACATGGATTATTGAAGTAGGGGAACGCCTCCCAAAAATGTCGCCCCACTATTTGATAATGGAGGATAATAGTAAAAGAACACGTCAGCTGTTTAGCATGTCACATATTTCGTGTAAGTATGATGCAGTGCAGTCATTTTTTTTTTTTTACTGGCCCATATTTCGTTAACTGGATGTGAATACAAGCGTAAAAGTCAAGTTTCCGATTGTCAGCGAACGTCTCGGCTGCTCCCGCCCCGGATATATCGGACTTGCGCATTAGAAAGGATTGTATTTTCAAAGTAAGAGAATTGACCTTCTTATCTGCGCATTTGCCGCGGTCTCTCGCTTGTATATGTCAATGTTGCGTTACAAGTAGCGATGCTTCTAGAACAACGTAGACATATCAGGTCGGTAAGGCACCGTGAGCCTTTTTTGAATGTCGTTTTTTTTTAATTTTGACGAGAGCGGCTGCGGAAGACGCAGTCTCGCTCGGAGGGGCATTGCGCATGCGCGGAGCAACGGCGGCGCCGCCCGCCGACCGACGCTCTGCGCCTGGCTTCCTTCCACCTCGAGCTGGTCGGCGGCTGGCGAGTGTCGCGCTGCCGGATGGAAAAAACGGTCATTATCCGCCCACGGGAGACACGCTGGAGCCCCCGGAAACTTTAGCGAGCCTCGACGAAGACGCACAATGCCAAGAGTCTGACGACTGAAAGGTAGGCAAAGTCCGTTGTTCGGCGGAGAGTTGTTGCCAAATCGATCGGAGAGTTATCGATAGAGAGGCGAGGGAAGAGTCGGGTGGGAGTCGATGTAGGTCATGGCGGCTGCGGGCCGAGCCGAGCCGAACTGAACGGAAACATTCGCACATACGCGATGATCTGGATGAGTCTGTTGCCGCGGCGCATTTGGGGCATCATCGGGAACCGCCAAAGTCGAACGAAATCTGCTCCGCCCGCCTTCTCCCATCGAATAATGTTCATCGTCCGTTCCAGGTTCAAACCGTGATCATCTTGAAAGTGTTTTTGCGGGTGGAAGATTGGCGCTCAAAGCCGAGAGCCCGACGTCCTCGTTTGGCAAAACAAAGACAAGCAATTCCTCGCTTGCTTGAGAAAGTGCTTGACGAAATGTGAAGCAGAGGCCGCGTTCTAAATGGAAAAATCGCCGACCATCAGATTAATGCGAGCGTCGCAGGCAGAATTGCGATCACAGTTCAATATTGTGCCACCTCACATTCTTAGATTCTTAGAAAATAACAGATGGATGGCACGATCTCTCAACGCGTGCATCAACATCATACCCAGAGAGCTTTAGACACACTTAACACTGGCATATACTTCACGTCCATTTATTGACCAATTGATTGAGCCGTGAAGTACAGCGGGAGCACGCCGGCGGCTTCCTGCAGCTGTCTTAACTCCGAAGCTCCCCAAAAGTTTCAAGTGGTTTACCTGAAGGAGAATCGTGCGCCGCATTGTGACCAAGGGTAAAAGCCAGTCCAGAAATGTGAAGCGTAAATCCTTTCCATAGAGAGCTAATGGAAGCAACCCTGCTCCTATTCAGTTCGGCCCCTCGAAGAAACACCCGAGACAGGCGGGGCGTGTTTCTGTCAGCCTTGAGCAAAACGGCCAATCCGTCTGTAATTCTGATCATATGAGAAGATGTGGTCTGAAGAGAAGGATCCATTGTGTTGGTGCTGTGCTTTGAGATGTGTCATCAGGTCAGCACGATGGAAGCCAGCAGCATCATCAATGTGCTCAACAAGAAGCTGGCCTTCCTCTCAGGTACGCACCCGCAGCCGTTTTTTGGGGGTTCCCCCCCCCTTCCGCGTGTGACTGAAGCGCGTGTGCCCTTTGCGGTTTGAGGCGGGAAAGACCGTCGCAGCGGTCTGATCCTCAGCATCCCGCTGGGCTGCGAGCAGACCAACATGGAGGAGCTCAGCGACACGCTGGACTATCTGCTCAGCATCCCCAGGTACGCACCACCCAGACAGAGCGCGCCATCTCGCCGCTTGCACTCACGCTATCCCAGAAGGTCGTCGGCGGAACGTTAGCGTTGTCACCGCATTGCTGACAGCGCGGCGCCTTCAACGCGCGCTCCATTTGCTCCCAATGGAGACGTTCGGCTCCCCGCGTAGCGGAACGTGCCACTGCCAAAGCGGAACGGAGCCGGACGGCTCGCAACGCAAAGTTTTTTTTTTTTCTTTCCTTTTTTTGTGAAAAAAATGCTTCGTTTTAGGATTTATTTTGCTGATGTATGAAGTATTGTGTCCAAAAAGTAGCTGAAAGGTCATTGGCCAATCAACTGTTTGTATTTTATTGATGAAAATGTGAGTTTCTCTTCAATGACCCCGGCGTGTGTGTGTGTGTGTGTGTGTGTGTGTGTGTGTGTGTGTGTGTGCGTGTGCGTGTGCGTGCGCAGCGAGAAGTGCAAGGCGCGAGGCTTCACCGTCATCGTGGACGGGCGGCGCTCGCAGTGGAACACGGTCAAGACGGTGGTGCTCATGCTGCAGGTACGTGCCGACGCCCCGCCCCGCGCCGACGTAGACGCTCGCTCGCGACTGACGAGCGCCCTTTCAGAACGTGATCCCGGCCGAGGTGTCGCTGGTGTGCGTGGTCAAGCCGGACGAGTTCTGGGACAAGAAGGTCACTCACTTCTGCTTCTGGAAGGAGAAGGACAGACTCGGCTTTGAGGTTGGACCCGCCGAGCGTGTGAAAACGAGCGTGCGGACGGCGCGCCGCTTGTGCCGCCGACCGCCACGCGACCGGTGAACTGAAGCTCCCGCTGCGGCGCTTCCCGTTAGGTGATCCTGGTGTCGGCCAATAAGCTGACGCGCTACATCGAACCCTCGCAGCTCACCGACGACTTCGGCGGGACTTTGGACTACGACCACGGCGATTGGCTCAGCAAGAGACTGGTCGCTGCTGCCGCCTCTTTAAGAAAAAAAAAAAAAAATCTGTCGCAGATTCGCTTGTTACCGTGGCAACTCAACCTCCTCTCTGCGTGGCAGGTGTTTGAGAAGTTCACCAAGGAGTCCACGTCATTGCTGGACGAGCTGTCGCTCATCAACGACGGCGACAAGAGCGCCGCCCTCGACAAGTACGCGCGCTCGCTCGCAGTCACTCGCGCACGCGCTGTACTGTGTGTGTGCATCGTGTGTGTGTGTGTGTGTGTGTGTGTGTGTAGGTCAGCTGACGTCCTCCTGCCGTCCTTTGACCCGGAGACGGTCCTCCAGACGGGTAAGTAGCAGAGGACCCTTTTGCGCTGTCGCTCTCTGCGTGTGTTGTTGTGTGTGCACCCGAGCATTTTTTTTTGTCTGTCTGTCGGTCTGTGTCGCTGGTGTGTTTGTATGTATTTGTATGTCGGTCCGCCAGTGCGAACGTGTGAGAGTGTTTGTGTGATTTCTGCGTGTTAAAGGGGGTCGTCGTCGGCGCCATCCGCCGCCTCCTTCTCCGAGCGAAAGACGAGCCCGCTTTCTGCTCTGTGTGCGCGTAGGTCACGAGTTGCTGTCGGAGCTCCAGCAGCGACGCTTCAACGTCTCCGAGGGGGGCGGACGAGGCGGCGGCGGAGGGCCAGGGGGTGAGGAAGCCGACGTTAGCGCGCTAACGCGAGCGTCTGTACCAAAGGGCCGCCACATCCGCGCGACACGAGCGCGCGCCAACATTTTGGAGCACCGCGGGCAAAAGAATTGCCTTGACTTTGCGTGTTGCCGGCGCAGTATTGTTGTTTGCCAGCGAGGTCCCGTGCTACTTGCTTGGTAGCGGTACGCCGCGCGGCGCGCCCTTTTGACCCAAAACGGGTCAAAAGGCTTCTGCTGCCTTGCGTCCGCCTCAGCCGGTCGTCATCTCGCCACCCCCCTCCCAACGTTTGCCCACAGCGCCGACGTGGCGTCCGATGGAGGAGGAGCTCCTGGCTCAGCCTCAGGTCATGAAGCTTCTGGACTCGCTGAGGGAGAAGTACACCCGCTACCAGGAAGTTTGCCGCCAACGCAGCAAGCGCTCCCAGATACACGACGTGCACGCCAAAGTCACGCAGGTGAGCGGTCGGTGGCCCGTCTCGGAGACGCGTCTGGCGCTCGCTCTCGGTTGCCAGGGCGACGGCGGCAGATTTGCGGCCGCCGTCCTGCTTCTCGGCACGCTTGGCACACATTCAAAAATGGGAAAAGCGAGCCGCTCGGCGCGTGAACAGGCACTTGGGAAACCAATTCAATCACCTGGAGAAAACAAATGACAGGCATCAAATGTTGAAGTTGAACTTCAAAACGCAGACGTCCCCGTTGTGGGAATAATGAAAGCGACGGGAAACCGTTCGGAAAAATCAGCGCAAGCCCACCGACGCGACGGAAAGCCATGACACGAAAATAGACGCGGTTGTCACACTCGCGACGGGAGAGGATGGGGATGGTAGGAAAAGTGAAATCAAGTGTGCGCGTGCGTGTGTGAGGTGGTGACGTGGCTGCAGGGTCCGGGCTCGGAGCTGCTGAAGACCCAGCGGGCCATCGGAGACTCCATGCGGGCGGCGCAGGCGCTGCAGCAGAAGCACGAGGAGATCGAGAGTCAGCACAGCGTACGGAGAGCCGCCCGCGTCAGCCCGCCGCCCGCACCCTCGAGCCGCGCGCGTAACAACCAGCGCCGGGTCGTGTCCCCCCCCTCGCTAGGAATGGTTTGCGGCCTACGTGGAGCTGAACCAGCAGATCGGCGCCCTGCTCAGCGGCGGAGACGACGACGACGAGGAAGAAGCCGGCGAGCTGAAGGCGCTGCAGCGGCAGCTCAGCGACGTCTGCTACCAGCAGGCGGCGCAGCTGGAGAGCCGGCAGAACGTCCTGCAGGCCGCGCAAGCCTTCCACGCCGCCACGCAGGAGGTGAGCTGGCAACTTGGCTCATCTCCGTGTTAGCTCCATTTGGTCTGTTGGAACTGAGCTGACTTGACCCACCTGGAGTCGAGTGTGGCGATCACTTCTTGCGTCACCCCTTTTTTGTTTTTTTTAAAACCTTTGTTAAGAGTAGCCATTTTACGTAGCTTCTTCTAGCATGTTTCATCTCTCTTTTTGTGTATTTGCTTACTTTTAGCTTCCGTAGTTTACCTTCATCTTTGATTAAAGAAGCTCGGTTTCTCTCTTTTTTTTTTTCCCCCCTCAGTTTATGCAAAGCTTAGTTTCATTCACTTTAGCGTCGTTAAATTGAGTCACCGTCGCTCAGTTTATCTTGCTTCAATTTGGCTCATCTCGGTTTTTGTCTATTTGGTTAATTTTAGCTTTGTTGACCTCAGCCATCTTAGTTTCGAGAAGCTAGCTTTGACTTTTTCTTTCTTTAAACCTTAGTTGAGTGTAAGCATCGTAACAAAGCGTAGTTTTCACTCTTTTTCTCTTAGTTGAGTTAGCGTAGCTTAGTTGATCTCATTTCAGTTTTTCTGCCTATTTTTGCTTCGTCTTCTCCAACCGTCTTAGTTTAGTGTTTTTGGCTAGCGTATGCTCATTAGGTGAGCTTTGTCTCGCTTTTGTTTTGATTTATCTTTGCTTTTCTACGTATCGGTGTGAGTTGTCTTAGCATGTGGAAGGGCGGCGCTGATGTCACATTTGCTGTCGTTAGCTGTCCCAGCAGCTGGACGCGCTCCTGGGCATGCTGTGCGCCGACGTGGCCCCGGCGGACGGCTCGCAAATCCAACACAGCCTCAAGTTGCTGGAGGAGAAGCTGCAGAGCGTCGGTACGTACATACGTGGGAGTGTGGGGAGGTGGGGCCTAAATCGCGCTGACCCCTCCCCTCCGTACATGAGCAGAGGTGGGGCTGGCGTCGCTGCGCCAGAAGGGGGCGCTGCTGCTAGAGCAAACGTGCAATGACGACGACGACGGTGAGAACGCGGCGGCCGAGCAGAGGGACAACGCGCAGCAGATCCGCGACGTCATGGACGATATGCAGATGAGGAAACAGAGGTGAATGCCCGCTAACGCGCTAGCGGCGACGAACGCATGCTAACGTGTGCGATCATGGGAGCGACGCAATTTCCAATGACCTGACAAAGCGTGCGTGCGCGAACGCGTGCGTTCATGCAGGTGCGAGGACATGGTGGACGTGCGGCGTCTGAAGATGCTTCAGATGGTTCAGTTGTTCAAATGCGAAGAAGACGCCTTACAGGTCAGATTCGTAAGCCGAATGATGTCACGGGCACAGGTGCTATGATGCGTGTGTGCGCGCGTGCGCGTGCAGGCAGTGGATTGGCTGTGCGAGCTGCTGGACGCGCTGCTGAAGACGCACGTGCGACTCGGAGACGACGCCCGCGACACCAAAGCCTTGATGGACAAACACAAGAAGTTTGTGGACGTGGCGCAGGTCAGACCGGAAGTGGTCGTGCGCCAAACTTCCTCCTCCTAACCTTTGCGTCATGGCAAGCGTGTGTGTATGTGTGTGCGCGGGGGGGGGATGTGCGCGCGTGTGCGTTATTATGAGTATGCGTGCGATTGTGTGTTTGCGCATGCATGCATTTGTGTGGACAGTGTGCGTGTCCCACGATGGCTGACGCGCGGCGTGTGCGTTGCAGAGCACATACGACTACGGGCGGCAGCTGCTGCAGGCCACGGTGGTGCTGTGCCAGTCGCTGCGCTGCGCCACGCGCTCGTCCGGCGACACGCTGCCTCGACTCAACCGCGTGTGGAAGCAGTTCGCCGTCAGCGCCGACGAGCGGCAACACCGACTGCAGCTCGCCCTCGCCTTCCACCAGCACGCCGATGTGGTCAGTGCGAGCACACACACACACACACAAGATCATGACCAAATGATATTGAAGCAAACAATTTAAACTAGAAATACACAATGAGGTCATAAAGAGCCCTTGGGATTCTGCTGAAGACTTAGAAATACACAATGAGGTCATAAAGAGCCCTTGGGGTTCTGCTGAAGACAAAATGGCGTACTTTGACTTCCCACTGCTAAAAAACGAGGGCGTGCGCGTGTGTTTCAGGTGGCTAAAAAACGAGGGCGTGCGTGTGCGTGTGTTTCAGGTATTACAGGATGAGCACGTGGAGGCCGAGTCTCTGGATCAGGTGGACGCTTCGGCCAAAGCTCTGCTGGACAGACTCAGCATGCCCGTCATCTTCCCCGATGGGTCGGTAGACACGCATTCGCCGCACGCAACGCAACACGACACAAAAACAACACACAACACCCTAACAGGCCCGCTCCCCACACACGCATGCTCATGTAGCAACACGTGCGGCCGTATGGTAAATTACGAACAGCGTTGATCGCATGCTAGCATCGGTGGCCGCATGCCAGCCTGCTAACAGTGGTGAGCACACGCTAACTTGGGTGAACACATCCAAACATGCCCACAGAGTTGACTGCGTGCCAACATAGGTGACCACATGCTAACACGCTAATACAGAGGAACGCACGCTAAGTGCCAACAGAATTGACTGCATAGGTGACCACATGCTAACGTGCTAACGGAGGAGAACACATGCCCACCCGGGTGACCGCATGCTAACTTGTTACTCTGTGCGAAGCGGAGCTATTCGATGTCCGTCCATCCATTCTCTGAGCCGATTGTCCTCAGAGGGTCGTAATCATTTCGGACGAAGCTCATTTTTTGCACTTATATGACCAAAAATGCTGAAATGTCAAGTGAAGTTCAAATTGAAACCTTAACACTTTGAAACTGGACCCAAGGCTTGAAGCCCTAATTTGAGGCCCTAACAATGTCTTGAAAAACTTGATTTCCAACCTAAAACTGGGCTTCAAGCCCATCATTCACCCCAGTAAACTTGACAAACTTCAACCCATGTTTCAAATCCTAAACTGAAACCATAACCTAGGCTTGAAGTCTCCCTCTCCCCAATTAATTGTTCATGACGTGGTTCATCATGCCAAATAAACTTTTGCAAGTTTCAGACTTTTCGTCCGTTTTATTATGATTGCAGTGTGGTTCTCAAGTGAAAACTACTTTTACTTGGGTCCTGAGTAAAGCCGAGGGCTGCCCGTGTGCCATTGTGGGCGCAAGAATATGACAGGTTGTCAATATTTCCTGAACTACTTGATGCAATGGTTCTCGTATTTCTTGCTCGAAAAGTTGATAAATGGCTACCCGGGGCCTTCACCAGAGCCAGGAGCTACACACGAATGGCAAAAAAAAATGACATCGTTTGACGGCACTGTTACATGTGGACAGGGAGAATAAGGTTACATATATCACTCGTTCTTGTTGACTAGGCAAAATGAAATAGTGCAGAACTCTTCAACGCGAATGCAGCGTGACGCTGTCAAGGGGCGACAGCGGTGTGGGGCCAGCGTTTATGTCGTTTCGTTGAACTGGGCGCGGGCGTGAAATGCACTCGGTGGGTTGTTAGCTTCCAAAGTCTATATTTTGTAATTTATATTTTAGTTTTTGTCAATTAAGGGGTACATTTACAACGTATCCTGTTTGGAGTGGAGCGGGAGCCGACTAAGAGGCGACGTCATCAAGAAGCGACTGTGACCGCGTCATTCTTGAAAATGAGACGTGAAACTAAACTACAGTGTTTTAAAACGTAAAAGGGTATATCATATGTTTCTGAGTTTATTTTTTTTATTCTTGTCCACAAAAAGATGACTCTACAAAAGCCCTTTGACACTATTCACCCCGCGCTTTCATTTTCAGAGCGGAAGCGAATACGCTAAGAGCGAGCAGCGCAAGTCACGTCACGACTGTGCTTCTGTCAGCGTGACTGAAAAGGGCAGCCAAAAGCTTTTTCTAAGCAATTGCTTGTGTGTGCGCCAATGTCTCCCCCGATCGCGAAGACGAAAACTTCGTTCGCCTCCTGGTGCTGTACCGGCATTAACAAGGCAGAAAGCGTTCTCCTTGTCAGTTGTCAGGATGGCCGAGCGGTCTAAGGCGCCAGACTCAAGGTTGAAACCTTCTCGCCAACGGGAATTCTGGTCTCCGAATGGAGGCGTGGGTTCGAATCCCACTTCTGACACAGTCTTTTTTTTTTTCGTCTTTCAACAGTGGAAGTCAAAAGACACGATGAAAACCAGAGACCCGCTTCTTACACTCCTTTCGCTGCGAAGATATTTTCTTATGAGCCTGCTTGATTTTCATGCGTGTTGTGTATTTCTGCTTACCCGTATTTCCTATTTGCATTCTCCCCAGACACTTCTCTCACATCATTCTGAATGAACCCTAACATCCAACATCCGCATCTCCATAAGCGCCAACACAATAACAACAATGATCGTACCAGTATGGGCATTAATTCGAATATTGATGGAAAACACCAGCTAAATACAGTACCAAACGGTTACCTTTGGAATACGATGACATCGAATATTATCTCATGTCGGGGTCATATACCTTCTCGCTGAAACCGCGTCCTCGTACCTTGTAAAAATCCCGACTTTGTTCAAAGCGGTTGATACCGTGGCAGTTTATTGTTTGGAAAAATAATCATGACAATATCACGATTGTATTAAATAAGGCGAATCGATTTCATGACCAATATTGTACAAAGTTATGTGCGCTATCCTTTTGACTGTATTAACAATAGAATGAAAGTTTTCTGCAAGACACACAAACACACTATACAATATTCATTCAAACAAAAATCATTAAGGTAAGGCGTTGGCATTGAGAAATGCAAATGTATTCAACTTTCCTGACAAAACGGAACTGAAGGAAAAGGGGAAAAAAAAAGTCAAGAAAAAAACGAAACAAAAAGAAAAGTCTACTTGGGAAGAGCTCCCCTTTGATTCGAGTTCCTTTTGAAATCGTGGACGCCACCCGCGCCGAGTCTCTCGTCACAAGTCGGAGGCCGCTAAGGTCTTCCTCTTGGGCACCCATCGAAGACGCGTGCCGGGACTTTGGTCGTCGCGGTCCTGCCCGGAAGCCCGACGACCGATAGTTGAGTATGCCGCACTGCGTCAAGGCCATTCCGAATCGGCCACAAGACGCCGCGCTTCGTCCGTCGGCTCCAAATCGGCCAACGTTCGCTTGTAGCCCGACGCCGGCACGACAGCGCCACCATCGCGAACGAGCAAAAAGTCGCGTGCTTTGGGAAGGCCGTTTGTTGCCCTGACGGTTGACGTCCACTAGATGTCAGTGTCGGAAAAGGAAAGAACATCACACGGGCACACCTTCACCCGCACACGCTTCCGTCCGAACTGTGTGCGGGTGAAAGTGTGCCCAATAAAACGTCGTCCACTGCGAGGAATTCTTCGGCTTTTTTTTTTTTTTGGGGGGGGGGGGGGCATGTCATGAAAACCACCGTGCAAGAAGTAGATCTTGTTGCTGCTTGCGACCACACGCCGCCCGCCGTTAATTTGAAATCGATCGATGACGCGCATTGAACCAAGTTGACGTAAAACCAACAAGCATGTGGCTGAAATGCTAAAGGCGTGGACATGAAGAGCGAAGTCGGGCAACAAACTCCTTCCTGTCCATGACGACGCCGTCAAGCGTCTTCCAAACCAAGGGTGAGAACTTTTACTTTTTATTTTTTTAATGCTGTTTTCTGCTCGTGTACGTTGAGGGGTTCCTTGTTTTTAGTGGATAGCTCTACTTTACGAACGGCAAAATGAGAGAAGGAATCCTTTAAATGCAGTTTTATTAAAAGGGGGAAACAAAGATGTCTGCACCGCAGCACGTTCGAGAACGCAACTGTCCTCGTAACTAAAATCACTTCCTGCTTCTCTGACTTCAACAGCCAATCAGAACCTATCAACATAAAACCATGTCTAAGCAATTATTAAACAACAGAATATAATTTAGGTATTCTGAACATGAAATAATATGATGCTCAAACATAAAATGATAATAATAATATAACATAAGCTTCCACTAGCTTAGCAGCTAGCTTAACAGCATCCTGCAAAAATGCATGCAAACACGAGTTTTTTTCGAGAGAACAGTCTGAATAATAAACGGTTGATTTGTAGGTTATAATTCTCGAATTGTCACACTACATAGCCACGAATTGTCACACGTGTTCTTAATAATGCGGTCGATATAAAAGATCTGACGTGGTCCAGTGGTTAGCGCGTCGACCTCACAGTGCAGAGGTACCGGGTTCACTTCCAGCTCCGCTCCGGCCTCCTTATTTAATGGATGAAATTGAACTTGGACTGGCTAGAACTATGTTTAAAGTCTTTTTTTTTCAATGTTCAAAAATATTCCCATCCAACGGTCCTTTGTTTGCACTCACGGAGCGACCAAGATCATTTCTTTTAGTCCCTCGTGTCTAAACTTGAGCAGAACGCTAACCTGAAGTGCGCTCGGCGGCAAGCGAAGTCAGCTACGTGCGAGTGTGCTGAATTGTTTGAGTACCAAGTGAGTCCCCTCGACCAGCCCGGGACGGATGAATTCAAAATGACATCGGTCGCGCAAGATCGACCTTGCTGCTCATTTTTTTGCACGGATTCGAGCACGCCGAAAGAATAGTTTGCTCGCGTTTTTGACTTTGCCACACGGGACGTGTCGCGTCGCGTTGCGCTTCAATCCGAAGCGACTTTGCCTCGCCAATTTCTTTTCGCCCGCCTTTGTGGAACCCACC